TAAATGTACCCTTCTTGTCCATAAACTGATTCACTGGCAGAAGCTGCAGTAATTGCTCCAATGATACCACCTATAACTCCAGGCATTGCATGTAGGTTATGTATTCCACAAGTGTCTTGTATCTTGAGAGTTTTTTCCATAAAAGGCTAATAAGGGGGGAAAAAAAAGAATAAGAAGAAAGTGATTTTGGTTACAACAATTCTAATACAATCTTCAATTTAGACTTCAAATTAGTTTGGACATTTAAAAAAATGTATGACAATTAACAACTTATATAGCATTATAAAGTACATTTAAATCCATTTCACTTAGATTGTCAATAAATGATATGCGTATTGTACTTCAACATGTTATTTTGAACATTTTCAGTACTATAAAATACAGCAAAACTCACAGTCACAAAGAGATATCCAAACGTGGAAATAATGCCCGAGCAGAACCCCACTATCAGAGAGCCGTAAGGGGTAATCATGAACTCTGAAGCTGTTCCCATCGCAACACCACCAGCCAAGGTAGCATTCTGAATATGTACCTAAATAATGTCAAGAAATTCTAAGGGTTATTTTATCAATGAAAAATTAAAGATAAGCTCAGATTTTCAACCATAGATTTGGTTACCATGTCGAGTTTTCCATGTTTCTGTGAGATACTTGAAATGGCAAAGGTAGTGAGAACTGAGGCAGCAAGTGCGAGGTAGGTATTTATAACAGCTCTGTGCTGGCCATCTCCATGATCTGCAATAGCAGAATTAAAACTGGGCCAGTACATCCAAAGAAAGAGAGTGCCTGTTAAAGGAAGAGGGACAAAAATTATGAATAATTCTGAACATTTTGATAACCTATACAACAGGAAAAGGCCCCTGAAGCGAAGATAACTTTTGATCTTATTTTCTTCCAAAACACTAAATTAGCAACAAATAGCAACCCAGAAATTTTCATCATTGCCAAAAGGGTGAAATTTGTTTCAAACTGTAAATTAATATATATTTTTTAAAACGTTGCACATGTAGCTATTGAGATTTTTTTAAGTAAATGTGGTTTGACTGACAGAGGGGGGAAATGCAGAATTTATATTTATATTATTTATTTAGGGGAGCTTTTGTTGTACCCTGCTTGATGCAATTAAATAAAGCTGATAGAGACGTTCTTTCACTATACTCACCAATCATTGCAAACACATCAGAGTGGTAAACGGATCCTTGTAAATGCCTGCTTTGCGATAGCATTGGTCGATATAAGACCCAAGATATGGTCAAACCATAATATGCTCCAAAAGTGTGGATGACCATGGAACCACCAGGATCTTTTGCCTATGCAAGTATGAAATAATAAAAAATGACAAATTCCTTTTCTTATGTTGGTAAGACAATAAGTAGATTTAAACTTACATGTAGGAGTTCAAGAATGATATACTCCTCAACAGCAAACAGGGTGACTCCAAATAGAGTAAGAACCATCAGTTGCACTGGGCTGACTTTTCCAAGGCAAGCGCCGTATGCAATGAGACAGCCGGCCACACAGAAATCTGCATTAATTAGGCTGAATTGAAAAATGACAGTTAAATTCTTCATATACAGATTAAAGGTGTATTTGTTAAGCATCGCTTCAAAAATGGAACATGAAATGTTCCGTATACTGTAGAAAGCATGTCAGTCAAGTGACGCTAGGTAAAAGAGGCCAGAACATGAAGGTGAACATATCAGTGATATTTCATAATGTCGTAATTCATAAAGTAGAATACAAAAAATCAATTACTTCTCAACCCCAATTTTTATCTTCCCATCATTTTCATCAAGGTAATGAAACCAGCCTTGCATCAGCAGAGCCCATTGAATTCCAAAAGCTGCGATGAGAAAATTGAAGCCAACTCCACCAAAACTATAACGCTTCAGAAAGGTCATTAGAAATCCAAAACCAACAAAGATCATTACATGCACATCCTGAAAACCTACAGGAAAAAAAGTATACGATTAAACAATGTTATAGCAGTAAATAAAGAATGTTGCAGCAAAACATTCTGGTATGTTAGTTACTTACTTGGATATCTATAGTAAAAGTCATTCTCTAAATTTGTGGAAATATTTTTCCTTCTTCTGTGTTCGATCCAGCGAGTCTCAGACTCCTCATTATAACGGATGAACACACCAAACAGGATAATCATTGCAATCTGCCAGACAAAGCAAACTGCTGGGAGACTGATTCGAATATTGGTGTTTTTGGCCATTTTAAGTCTTGCAGATTTTCCCGAAGAGAAGTTCTGGAGATGACAGTCAAATTCCTTTCTTCGTAATTTGGTCGGTTGCTTTCAATAGGAACATGTGACTCACCTTTTGTCATAAAGTTTTTATAGTGCGGTCTGGAGGTGTGTCATTACATTATGAAGCAGCACCTCCTACAAAGACATACAGTACACATGCACATACTTATAACACAAAGTTTGTTGTTTGTTAAGGAAAGACAGTATCTGGGTTCTTATGTAATGATTATGTATTGTGGTGACTTTGCTACAAAATAAGCAAGCACATTGCAAAGATGTTCGAACATACATACATGCATAAACACACACACACACACACACACACACACACACACACGTTTGTTTCTGTGAATTGTGGGGACATTCCATAGACTTCTTTTACTTTTATACTGACCAAACGATATTTTCTATCCCCTAACCCTAAACCTACCCCTTACAGAAAACCTGTTTGCATTGTTACACTTTCAGATAAACATAATTTACTATTTGTAATATTTTTTTTCCCTCGTGCCCCCACAATATCAAATATTTCAGGTTTTACTATCCTTGTGGGGACATTTGGTCCCCACAATGTAGCATAAACAAACACACACACACACACACACACACACACACACACACACACACACACATATATATATATATAT